GTCATATGATGCAATCGGATCGTCTTGAGCCAAGGAATCAGTGGGAAAAGGAATTTTGTTTCAAGCCCTTATGGTTCAAACGTTATTAGCATAAACATGATGAGTGAAAGTTTGGACAGTTGGTGGCGCTAGAGGGATTGAGTTAGAGACTCCAAATTTGCTATGGTGACTGTTCAGACTGTCCTCTATCAGTGTGCTAAATTTCATAACTTTCCCGCAAGCGGTTCTATGGGCTGCCATAGACTTCCATATGGAAGAAGAAGAATAAGAACGCCAACGATTTCGGTGCCTACGCACTTTCGATGCCTGTTTTTCCAATCATTTTTTCATTTTTTTCTGCAAAATAATGATTGAATCTTTGATGACTGAATAATAGTGCAAATAAACTTTATTCCACAAGGTAGCAATGTCTAATACACAATGATGAAGTGACTTTTTTTTACCGCAGGCAGAAAACAAAAGAATAGGAAGTATAATCACCAGAACTTGAAATGGCTCAGTGATTTACTGCAGAGCAAGTACTGAACGCAATCAAATATTAATGTCACTGTCACTTAATGGTGGATCTGGTGAAGAAGCTGTCAGCAATCCAAAAATTGATTTTGAAGATGTTGAAAATTATAGTTTTGAGGATATGTTTGAGATCGAGAATATGAGCCAGATGCTGAATGTACTGGGAAATGAACTCTGATGAGGACAGTTATGATGGTATAAAACATCTGCTCAAACTGAACACTCCAAAAGGTAACAAAATATGCTTTATTTTATTTTTCTGTAATTGTTACTCTAATATCAGGAGAGTTTTATATATTATCGTGTTAGAAATAGATCCGGGTCGCTAAACACCTAAATATGTAATAATGATTGGCAAAAGATTCATGCATTTAAGGGTTAAAAATAATTCTTTGCTTCTAATGGATGTGATTGGTGCTTTGCATAGATGCATTATAGCCACCTATCTTTGTCTTTCGTTTTCTTTCTTTTCATGGCAACCACAGTGTCCCTCCCACACACACGCACATATGCGCGCACACACTGCAGTATAGGATCCCTGAACCCACATGCCGTGTGGTTTGAATTTCTCTGAGACACACTGAGAGAGATAAGAAAGAGAGAGAAAGAGGCGTCAGGCCCACTGATTCCATTCTCTTGGTTGAGGAGTTTCCATTTGCACACACAGCCATTTCCAATGACCAAGGACAACTTTCCTCTTTCGTGTTTTAATTTGTGCTGCATTAAACCGTCAGTGTTCGTCAAGGCTCACGGCTTTCACAGGCTCGCTCTGATCGAAGGAACCTTACAACGATAACCACCGCATGCAACCTGCCTTGTGGAGCCGAGCTTTGAGGGTTTGCGCCCGTCTGTTTCGTCTGTACGGAGTACACAACCTGCCAATTTTGCCCAGTCAGGAGTTAAATCAAGATGACAAGGGTAAGAAATCTCAGGCCTGTGTCTCTGTGGGTCAGAGTTTGCCTAAGGTGCAGTCAGTGCTGGCTGTGGGAGCAGGGAGGAGCACTGGCTGCACAATCCTCACCGCAGCAGGGCAGACAGGGGCAGCCCTGGCTTCAGCGGGGATGGAAAGAGCAGTGTTGGCTGCCACTAGAGCTCTGTAGGAATTGTTTAGTCATGCACCGATCATTCCGCAAGCAGAAGTTGGCCCCGGACAACTTAAATAGCTCAGTGTGTTGTGGAAAAGACTACTGGCAGAGGCTGAAAGTAGAGATTGTGTAGTTTCAAAAGCAGTTTAAATCTGCCTGATTCAGAGCTTAAGCATCCTCTTTTCTGTACGTCTTTTCATGCTGTGCTTAACCTTGGTTGTTTAGCTTTTTAACCCCCAGGCTAAATGCACTTTAACCCTGAGCAATGCAACATTTGTACTTGTAATTTTAGGGGGGAGAAGTTTCTGAAAATGTTTGCCACAAAGTATCGTGGCTTTTTGGAAAAGAGTCTACCATGTTTTGTTTTTTACAGTGGTACAACATAAAAAAATGCTTCCATGTAATTTTGGTCCAGTATCAAGGAATTTCTTGGAAGTAGTACCATGTAAATACTATGGTACATGAATTCTAGTATATGGTATATATGAAAGTGTCAACATAATATAATCTGTCATTTTATAATATAATAAAATAATTCATTATATTTTATACTATGAATATATAACATTATATATATATATATATATATATATATATATATATATATATATATATATACTATTATAATATTTAGAATTGGCTTTTATTTTATATTTTCAGTTAAGTTTTAGTAATTTTGTAATATACCTTTTTTGTTATATTTCTATATAGTTTTTCTAATTTTCATTTAGGAGGTTATTCATCTAATATTTATATTTCAGCTTTATTTCAATTACTGATAGCGATTAAAAATTGTAGACAATAACAACACTGTTCTTAACCGTGTAAAATTATTCTGTTCAGTGAGATCTTGTAGCATTGGAAAAAACAATCATAAACTACACAGTGCTTACCTTATTAATAATGTATACGCTATGCACAGTCGCATCATGTCCTGATTTCTCTGAGTCAGACGTGTTCCTGGGTCAAAATATTTTGTTGATCCTGGAACAACATTCCTGTCCAAAGCTTTAATCCTAACCGTATCCCTGCACCTAAACGTAACCCTAAGTTATACTTAAAATCAGAGGGAAATGATAGGTGAATGACACTGCTGTAGAAGCACCAAAGCCAGTTTGTAAGCCTAAACTTGACTAAACTGTAAACACGTCCTTCAAATCTGCTTGGTTGATTTGGAATTTTGTTCCAGGTTTAACAAAGATGTGGATCCAGGAACATGTTGCACTTGGTTAAATTCAGTTCTGCATGCACAGTCACTGAACCATTTGCATTTTGTTTAGTTTTTCAGCACCTGAGAGAAAAATGACAACACGTCGTAAACTGTCGTGAACAAGATACCGTAACTCTTATATTTTTATTTTGTATATTTTTTGAACCATGTGATATTATTAGCCTATTGTATTCTATTTTGTGTTATTAAAGCAGGTCATGTGCCCATGGCAAGCTGAATTTATCTCAAGTCTCTAAATTTACTTTTACCCAAGGTTTAGCATGGCACTGCATGGGGTAACAATTTCAAGCCCATCTCTCTCTTTCAATTCTTTCTAAATGAACGGATTTGTCTTGGCTGGTACTGTATATGTTCAGAGATCATGCACACTTTGCCAATACTGAAAATAAAATTCCTTGAGAGGATCTTAAGGTTGTGCTTTATGCTGAGGTCTGCTCCTGACTCGTCATATTCAATCTGCACTTATTCAAATCAGTTTGAGGTTAGTGATATTCACTTGGCAGCCACAAGGCAGCCGATCCGACGAGAATCCCCGCTCCCGGTCTGATGAGATTAAACGCATCAGAGTCGTTTTGTGAGGAGCGATTGTCGAAGGTTTCTGATACAGGACCTGAGGTACGGGGGCAGGACAGGTTTGTATACACACAATTGATCCAGAATCCAGAGACACTTAAGTCCCTAATCACACATCCACCGGTTGAGCTGCTTTGATGGGTGAAATAAGGGGAAAGGAAAAGGAAAAAGAGCTCAAGGTAATCTTTGTGACTGGATGTCTGAAGATCACATGCGCCAGCATCTCTCTGTGTGCCTCCTACAAAAGAACCGATAGCAGAGACCCCACTGTTTTGACAGCTAAATCACCTTCCCCAGCTAATCTACCACTGTGTGTGCGCATAAGATCATTGTTTAAAGTGTGAATGTGTACCTGCTTATGTGGGGGTGTATGTTAAATGAGAGAGTGTGAATAGTGCGACAGCAGCTGATCCCCACACTGGTCGTGTGGGAGGATCTGGGGCTTTGTTTTTGTGTGTGGTTGTGCGTTTGCTTTCTGTAGGTGGCATCTTTGAGGAGGTGGTCACAGTGAGACTGTTGAGCCTTGAAGCCAGGATGCAAAATTACCTTGAGAAAACAGGAACACTTTAAAATATGTTTTTGTTGATTAACATTAGTTAATGCCTAGGTGTCGTGAACCATCAATAAACAACCATTTTTACAGGACTGATTAATCTAGGAAAAATATTCATTACATTTATATAATTGATTAAGTTAATACCATTGCTCATTGTTAATTTATGTTAGTTCATTAAAACATATTAAAGTGCCCCTATTATGCTTTTGCGAATATTACCTTTCATGCAGTGTAATATAGCTGTTTGTTAATGTAAAAGGTCTGCAAAGTGTTAAAGATCAGAATGCACAACAATTAAAGTTCTAAAAGAAAGAATCGATTCTGAACTGCCAAAAAAACTCGTCAGTAATTCAAGTCTCACTTCACCTACATAACAATCTAACAAATTTGCATAATGCCAGCCTATGGTGTTCATTGGCTGCACATGAACAATGTCTACTTTGACCCTCCCTCTAACAGTCGTAGCTGAGGCCTGGAAGAGTTTGGTTCATGTTGTCAACATGTCAATACTCTTAGCCCTGCAAATTCCCTTTTGAATGTACTTTAACTGATATGAAATAACCAACACCATTTTTGCTGTTCTCTGTGAATCAAGTGCTGAGGAAGCCTTTGGAGCTGAAATTTAGATATGGTAAAAGGTGTTTCGTTTCGGATACATGCTGTAAGCAATAGACCACTCACAATAGACTGGACTGTCTGACCGATCAGAGCAGAGTAGGCTCTCGGAAAAAGGGTTTAGAGAGACCAAATGTTAGATGCACAAATCACGACAGTCACTTACAAGCTGCTTCCAAAAGACCAGAGAACTGTGTACAATGTAAACACAAACACTTCCATCGGTATTAGATAGTCACTTCAGTAGTGCACCTGTCTTTGATTTCATTGGCATAAATCATTTTATTTTCTCTCCAAAGCCTAATTTTACTCACTTTTAAAGAGTGTTCAATTTGGACCAGGCTTGGATGCATTGTGTTGCACTGCTGTGGTCATCTGGATGACATAAGTTGACCCCGCTATGTCTGTCTTGTCTCTTTCTGCACAGGGTGTGAGCGGTATGTCCGTGGATGAGAAGTCTGAAGCTCCCATGTACGTGTATGAGTCGACGGTGCACTGTACCAACATCCTGCTGGGTCTGAATGAGCAGCGGAAGCAGGGCCTGCTCTGTGATGTGACCGTGCTGGTGGAGGGCAAGGAGTTCCGCGCGCACAGGGCTGTCCTAGCGGCCTGCAGCGAGTACTTCCTACAGGGGTTCGTCACCCAAAGTGACAATGAACTGGTTCTCAGCATGCCAGAGGAGGTATGAATAAACACATTCACAGATTTGAAAATGTTTTGCTATCATGCACATTAATGTTTTAATAATTTATTGTTCAAAAGTTTGGGGTCAGTTCTTTTTTTTAAGATGAATTGACCCAGAATGTATTAAATTCATCAAAAGTAACAGTAAAGAGTAGACATTTATGTTACAAAATATTTATATTTGAAATACAGTTATTTTAATTGTATTTATATTTCACAATATTATTAGAAACATCACAAAAAAATCTTACCAACCCCAAACTTTTGAACGGGAGTATATGTTATTGGTAAGCCTCACAAGTTAGCTTTTAAAAGTCTGATAGAAAATGTATTGCTAGGAAAACAAAATCGTGACATGGTCTTCCGTGCATCAGCTTTTTTAATGTATAAGGTATAAAAATGGCTAAATGATCACTATACTTGCTTTATACTGTACATAAAAGCATGACTATAATTACCACTCATCACTTGTCTAACTACCATATGGCAGCAGCCATTATTTTCCAACACTCCAATAGCCATGTCTCTCCAACACGCACTCATGCACCTACATGAGCAGTAGTTTGTCTTCTCCCACAGCCCCAAAGTGCACATTTAATGAACTAGCATCTATTGCATTAGCCTTCCATCTCCACTCTCTGGTTCATGGATCCAAAATCAAGATGCAAAGTTTCTCGAAAGCAGAGCATTTGCATAAAAAATGGGTGCATTTATTATGGTTTCCGTTATGTAGCACAGTAAGACCATAGTGTGATTTTAATGGGATGTACTTGATCCATATCCTCCTTTTAGCCTGTCAAGTACCTATTTAGTGTTTCAATGACGTGTGCATACATTTAAAGTATTTAAAGATGTAGTCACAAAGGTGCTTAAGAATAAAATAAAATTGAGGCAGAGTTTTCAAAGAAGCTAAAGTTTGCTAAAGCTAGCAAGCAGCTAGAAAACAATGCATGTAGCTATTGGTAAACAAAGCACATTTTTTTTTAGATTTTATTCTCTAATACTGATAATAAGACTTAGTTTAGACACTAATTTCAGATTTAAAAAGTGACGAGCATTATTTTAGTTAGCAAACCGTGTGTTTCATTAGCATCCCACTGTCTCTGTCCTGACTGATTAGCACATTGATGGATAAGAGAATGAAATATTATAGAGTGCATCAGTCGAGTTCCGGAAGTAAAAATTCCATTCATTTTCTCCATAGGGGAATTCATTTTGAACGATGACTTGTTGAAGCCACCAGTCCACATTATTTGGTATTTAAGTAATAAGTTATTTTTTAAATAAAATGTTTAACATAGCAAATTCCTGGTAAAAAAAAAACCAAACAGAACGACATATTTGTGTGCATAAAATGCATATTTTACAATAAATGTAAAATATATTGTTTCAGTATATAACAAATGTATTTAAATCAATAGTTTCTACATCATTTTTAATTCATGCCTTTCTTCATTGTATCAAAGTTTGTAATGTTGTGATTCACCATTTAGCTGGCTTGTTTGGTTCATGACTTATAAAGCGGACTGTAGCACTCTCTACCTCTAGATGTGTTAAAGCAATGTGATTGACTCATTTAATGAAATTTAACCATTAAAACTGTGATCCAAGCCCAGCATTGGACTCCAAGGACATGCTGGGATTTCACAATCGCAATTCACATAACCACAGAAATGCATGTACACACACCCCTGCTTTCCGACTTTTGCAGTGATTGGGTTTTCCACAGGGGTGTTAATGTGACATAAGAACGCCTCCAGTGATGTATTCACACCTCTGCTCATATATTCTCTCGCACATGTACATGCTCAGAAGTGGGACGCTTGTAATGTGGTTTACGGTGGGCGTCTGTCGACCAGTGTTATTGCTAACAACAATTAACAATTGAAATTTGTTTTTGGTAATTGAGTTCTGTGGAAATAAAATAACATAAATGTAAGATAAACTTAAACTTAAAAAAAAATGTAAGTGAAAATTATAAATTTTGCCTTGACAACTAGCTGAAATAAATACCTTTGTTGAAGTACCAAAATGACTAAAACTCACAAATACATTAAAGCAATGATTTTTAAAAAAAAAACTAAAAAATGACAAAAGCACATAACAAAATTACTATTACTGAAATATAAAAATAAAAGCTAATTTAAAATATTAATAAATAATATAATAAATTATATAAACCAGTAAAATAACAATGCCTATGACAACATTAGTGTGTATACTATAATAATACTATATAATCTATAATATGCCTGTCGAAGAGTATTGGCATGCCCTTGTTCTGTGATTGAGAAATGTTAAGAATTTGGAAGGAACATGTTAACAGGTTTTTCTGTGCAGAAATATAGAGTTTAATACGATTTAATGGAGTTCTAGAGACTTCCAGCTAATTGGGATACTTCTTTCATTCATATCTTGCCTCCTCCATCAATTATTCATCAGTCTCTCACTCTCATATATGGTGCGAGTGTGAACTAGGAGGGAATCGCATCTTTCAAAGATTAAAAAAAAATAGAGTCTGAGGATTTAATAGAGTGCTTATCTTCGCCTCAGATGCGACAGAAAATGTGTTACTGTCTCTTACTATTAATACTGGTAAATGTCATGCATACTCCAGATAAGATCAAAGTACTGTTTGTTTTAAGGCTTTTTTCAATAGCACAGAAAATTGAGGAGCATTTCATATTTTGTAACCGGTTTCTTTTAGTTACAGAGCCTTCTGTATTTTTTTGTATTTTTTTTTGTATAATAATGGATGATTTGTTTTGTCATGTTGATTCAAAGTATCCAGCTCTTGAAAGACTCAGGTGGTGTATCTGCTGTGCCGTAAATGTGTATAGACTTTGTGCTCGGTGTGCCGCGCACATACGCCGCAGCATCCAGTGATTTCAGCACAGCATTCAGGGTTTGCTGAACATCGCCCCCTACATGTCACATGAGGCAAGTGATGGCAAAGAAAAAATGGGGGGTTTAAGCTGTGGTGGGGGTGTGCTGGTGGGGTGGTTGATGAAAAAAATCCACTGCAGATGAAATGTGAAACAAAGAGCACTGCCACCTCCTTCTCTTCCCCTCTGCAACACCCCCCACATCCACCCCACCCCTCCCAGATGACCTTGTTATTGTTGAGTCGTGGGGACCGCATCGGGTTAGTGACATCATCTATGTTAGCCAGCGAATGTTGAGCACAGGGAGAGAGAGAGAGAGAGAGAGGCCCTTAATCGGCTCTTTGTTGGGAATCAGATCATGAAGAGAGACAGAAAAACAGCTTCAACCCCCTACGGAGATGCAAGAAACCCTGTATTAGACTTCCAGGATTCCAATACGAAGAGATCCATGAAGAAATCACTGTCTGTACTTTCTGCCATGTCTTTACACAAAGAGATTTTCTTTAAAGCTTTTAAATGCCTAAAAAAATGAATAAGGCATAGGTCGTATTTTTACCGTCTTGGGTGTGATATCAGGTTAATATGGTTATTATGTCAGTGGTTATTATTTGACTATCACATTAGAGGTTTTGCTTTGATGACGGTCATAGATTCCCTCCAGCCACAGTCATTAGGAGACAAACTGCACGTTAGATCAGTGGTTTTCTAATGGTTTTGCTCTTTTACAGATTTTATATTGGACAACTAATGGCAACCCAACACCGTACCAAAATAGTTTTTTGAACAAAATTGACATATGAATTCTATTAAAATGATCATGAACTGCATAAGGCACAACAATATGCAAAATTGTTAACATGACATAGGTTGAGTAATTTACAAGTGATTTGCCAGTCTAACACATGGAATAAACACTGGGCCAGATATTTTCTTAGTATTAATTATTACCAATTGACACATGAATTTGCATCAAAATACCATTGCACTGCCTTTGATGTCTACATTAAAAGATAATGGAAGCTTTTTCTCCCCTTTTAAGTTGATAAGCCAACTTATTTTGCTATGCAAGCTTATTTGGATACGTGATTAGTTACATTTTTTTATTATAATTTTTCTAGACTTATGCAACCAAATACATTAACACAGTAACAGCAAAAGGTGAACCACTCATAAAATGAATGGGAGAAGTTTTGTAGTTTTGGCAGTTGGTTGGTTGTTGGTCATTCGTTCGATTGGCTTTATGTAACTCCGGTTCTCCAATTTTATTGCAGATCTGAAATATATTGAAATTGAATCTTGGTAAACAACTTCAGAGATTTTGGTCTGCACTTGTATTGTAGTTAAAATGCAAATTAACAACGTAAAAATAACTGCCAATGGGTGTTACCAAGATGGCTGCAATCTACCAGTTAGATTGCACTCAGATGGGTGTGAATCGGTCTTATTATCTGGCGCTTTAGTACCCTATGTCAGTACCTGGCCATTCGCCACATGATGAAACGTGCGTTAGGTCTTTCTCTGTCAGCTTATATCTGCCACAGATGTTCTCTTTTAGTTCGTTCTTCATCTGTAAATAAGACGCAGTTCAGCATAAACAGTATTAAGTGTGACTACTTTTCAAGGGAAACTGATTCACTTCTCTATTATATTCCTTAATCATATAATTTGCCGTACCAGTGTAACCTCTGCTGATTCAAGTGATTCTCTCTTCTGTATTATTTTGTGACACCACCCAACAGCTCATGTTTTCATCCCCGTTTCATCCCTGTCTGTCTTTTTTTCCCCCTCACTGCTCCTCTTGTGACTCATGCATTACTTTCGAGAGTTGTCTTAAAGCTGTCATGTAATAAAACCATCATTCAGCACTCTATGTCTTATTATGCACAGCTCTCTGGAATACTTAGTTCTGGTTGGTTAATCGTATCATCCAGCGGTCCGACATGTTCTTATATTTTTTAATAAAGTGCAACAGTCGGGTTCCAGAAGTAAACATCCCATTTATTTTCTCCATAGAGGAATTGATTGTAAACGTTAACTTACAAACCTTTAAGAAACGACCTACTGTGAGCTATGATTTTATGAGCCATTGTTGAAGCCATCAGCCTGCATTATT